GGGGGGGGTGGGTCCCCCCCCCCCCCCCCCCAAAAAGGCCCAATTTTATTTATTTATTTATTTATTGTGAAAATAGTTTTTTTACTTGTAATTTTTTTTTTCGCGTTACAATCCACCCTGAAATTTTGTAATCCGATCTTGAATCAAATTCTGGATCCGTCCACCATAAACCATAATGAAAAAAAAAAAAAGTGTCTAAAATCCCGATACCAAGGCAACGATCCCTACTCCTAGAAAGATTCAAATAACCTCATTTAAATAAAAACACTAAATCTATAAATTACATTAAAATAACACGATTAAATTATTAGATGGGACCAGCCAAGGATCAACGCCGATATCCAGCTCGTAGGTTGCATCAGTCTCCGTAGCCTAAAAATGGTTTGCCTAGGAAACAAAAATATCAGTAGTATAAGACGAGTCATTGCCTTGCCAATATGTCCGGCTGGATCTCAAACACAAGTAGCCTTTGGTATTCCTTCTTTTGGTAGTGATTCTTCAACACTAAGTACACGATGTATTTGAAGGAAAGAACTCATGAAGGAATGGTAAAGTTCATTACCGGTGCTATGTTACCTCTAAGCATAGTGAAAAACGATCGTTTAACAACATTCGTGAAAAAATATCTCTTACCAAGGTACTTAGGGGTAAGTAGAAACACTCTTCGTAATGATACACTGGAGTATTTCGTTAGAACCAAGAACCAATTGATTAGTGATTTACATAAATATGATAGTGTTATATCGTTTACTTCGATAAATAAAAAGGTTATATAAGATCAACTGCACACTATATAAACCCATTTTGGGTGATGCATAAAAAAATTGATGCTTTCAAGTTTGAATTTCCTTATAATGCTAACAATATATTTAACGTTCTCATATAAATTATTGAGGAATATTGTTGTGAAAGTAAGATTCGTTTTTTTACGTTTGAAAATGTTAGTGTTAATAAGCTTGTTATATATAAACTTTTTAAAGTACTTAATATTGATTTTGGTGGATTTTATTTCATGTATGTTGTCTGTATCTATATAAACCCATTTTGGGTGATGCATAAAAAAATTGATGCTTTCAAGTTTGAATTTCCTTATAATGCTAAAAATATATTTAACGTTCTCATATAAATTATTGAGGAATATTGTTGTGAAAGTAAGATTCGTTCTTTTACGTTTGAAAATGTTAGTGTTAATAAGCTTGTTATATATAAACTTTTAAAGTACTTAATATTGATTTTGGTGGATTTTATTTCATGTATGTTGTCTGTATCACATTTTTAATTTAATTGTGTAAGATAGAATGGAGCATATTAAGGATCAATTGATAGAATCAGGAACACACTTAATATTTTATCTTGGGGTATATTATCCCACTAGTTCAAGAGTTCTTGAACTTCTTTTTGTCATTAAAATACATTTCAAAATACAAAAATGATCTCACTTTTTCTGAAATATTGTGTGTGCTACAATGGCAATTACAATGGGAAGTAAGGCTGTAAGGCGGAGCGAATCCGGAAAGTAAGGACATCTTGAGCAAAATGACCTTTTTTTTTTTTTTTTGAAATTGAAGTTTTGAAAATATTTGAAAGGCTTGCCTATGTTATTTCTTTTGGCAAGTGTAATGGATCACAGGTACAATTTAAAAAGCACTAAATATATTATCCAAAGAATCCCAAATTATTTTGATTTTGACCAACCTATCACTTATTTAAATTTAGAAAACACTTTAACTTCTATACACGAATTGTATGCACAATGATTGAATGCAAATTAGTTGAGCAACCTCCGTACCCACCTGTGTTGCTAATTTTAAAGAAAACGATGTAGAACTAGTGAATTTATTTGAAGACATTAGGGATGAAAGATATGATGCATGAGGTTCTTCTTCTAGTAGTCTCCTACATGTAATTCGACAGCGAATGCAAGTCCTATTGGAATGTCTGCTAAAGCTTAGTAGCATAGAACCAGTTGATGCAATATAATTTGATTTAATTGATTTATGGCAAAAGAAAGAATGAAAATGCCTTTATGTTTTTACCATTACAAAAAATCTATTAACACCTCGAGTTCGTATTGTAGTTTTGGAGTTTGCTTTAGTGCACATTGTCCAAGGTCAAGAGTAGAATGAAAGAAGATATTTTGAAAGCAGTAATGTACGTAAAGGACTGACAAGACGCATATTTTCGAATAAAACTAAGTATGAGGAAATTGCGTATAGTCAAGTAAATGATATTTAATTTCTCATAATGTCATACATTTAAACTTTTTGATTTTGTTAATAATATTTGACTTTTTAGAAAAATTGTATATGTAACAAGTTATTCGTGTATAATTTTTAACTCTGCCAACTTGAAAATTAATTAGCGATCTCAAGCCTGTATAAAAGGAGGAGGGTTTGAAAATAAAATTTTAAAAAGAACTTCAAATCTCAATTCAATTTATCATTTATATATTCTATTTCTACATTTTCATACATTTGATACTTATGCAATTCAATTATTCAAATCAAACCTCATTTATTTTTCTTCTTTGAACCAGGTTTGAATTTTTTTAAAAAATCAAGCCTTTGAAAACAAAGAATCCCCAAATTCCAAGTATCATCAATGAAACATGCTGTCAAAGAAGAATTCATTTCCTTAAATTCCAATATTGCCAATGAAGCATGCTGCCAAGCAGCACTGTGTGTTTGGTAGCACGCTTCATGGGCGATTCTTGAAATTTGATGATTCTTTGTTTCTGGAGGCTTAATTTTTTTTTTTTTTTTTAAAAAAGGTACACATAACAAGTAGTTCATGCACAATTTTAATTCCACCTACTTGAAAATAAGTAGCTGATTCCAAGGCCCTAGAATTTGAGTGGAAAAAAAATGATGTAACGCCCTGACTCCTTGTGGACCGGAACGCTACTTACTTTATTTAACTAACGGTGGTTTAGTCATATGAGAATATGTTTTAGCGAAAGTTTAATTTTTACAATGATAATTTTAACAACCACCTTTCGAATACTTTAAATAAAACACTGAACAAAAAAATAACGGAACGTAATTTATTTGAAGAAAATACAATCTGTTCTCGCGTTCAGCGTTATTCAAATACTTTAAAGAAATAACATTGAAAACGTTCACAAAAATAAATCTAAATAACTTGTTCACTGGGTTTTCCATGGGCTCGTTGCACCACTCTCCATCTTTTTCATCATCCAGGCCCAAGGTAGAATCATATCAATCTGTAGAGAAGGAGTTAAACCCGTGAGTTAAAAAAACTCAATAGACATGTAGAGTCATGACTTAACACGACGCCTCGATCGGAAGTACATGTCATACCGGAGGTACCATTAGACATACAAACATTAACATAAATCTTCATTTGCTAGAAACTTATAACTTAACACGAATTAATACTTTCCACCTCTACCTACCTTGATTGATGCTTTGAACCTTGTTGAAAAATGTACTCCTTTGATTTTTCAAAAAAACGGTCCATTGAGAATTGATACTTGGAAAACATTTCTTGATAGCACCAAAACTTCTAGGAAAAACTAATTTTCCTCCCTCTCATTTCTCTTTTTTCTAGACTTGAAAACTCTCTTTTATGTTTAGAAGTTTTTGTCTTGGTGTAAAAAATATGTATGCATTGGGGCCTATTTATAGGTGAAAATCTCACAACTTAAGGGTAAGTGAAAGGCCTAATACTAATTAATACGGGTGCCATTTATGTGGGAGTTATAGGTTTAAGAAGGTGCTAGAAAATCATGTAGGAATTTGACTTTTCATATTCCGCATACTTCGGTTGATACTGTACAGCCTTTAATATTTCTATCATAACTTCTTCTCTCGATATCTGATTGAGGTAATTTAAAGTGCGTTGGAAAGTTAACTCAAAGAGATACAACTTTTCTTGAGATATCATTTTCCAAATCAAATTTTTTCTATGTCGTGAATGGGTCTCAAATGAGACTAAAAATCTGAAGTATATTTTAGTTATCCAATATTCATGTCTTAGTGCCACTAAGGTGTTTAAAATTATTTGGGGTTCTACATCCCTCACACCTTAATTAAAATTTCGTCCTCGAAATTTACCTTCTGATTGGGCGAATAGTGTTGGATACTTGTTTTTGGCTTCCTCTTCCCCTTCCCAAATGGTTCGATATAGCGGGGTCGTAGCTTTCCTTTCTTACCAAACCTAAGTACACTTTTCATCGGTACCACTTTCAAAACACTTTTTCTCCAACTTTGAATTCTAAATCCTTCCTCCTGTATTCGCATAGCTCTTCTTTCGATTCTGTGCTGCCTTTATCCTTGCACGGATCTTATCGATTGCCTCAACTATCCTTTCAATTATTACTGGTCCCAAAACTCTCTTCTCCCCAACTTCATCCGAATGAACAAGAGACCTACATCTTCTACCAT